AGATATCAATAACTATACATTTAAATCAAATTTGTATGGCAAAAAATGAATGATTAATTCTTGAAATTATATTTGTTGTTCATTTTTTTAAAACTAATATGATTCAAACATATAACTAACAATATTCAATCATCTTAATTTTTTGCATGAATATTTTACTCAATGAATCTAAAAAAGTAAACAGTTCAGATCACATAAATCAATTCCAAAATAAACTTACCAAATCTAAACACTTTCTCAAATTAAAATAACAACTTGAAAGAAAACTATTGCATCTTAACCACACAACAATTCTGAACAAATTTCTGTGTAAAATGTCTGAGGCCATAACTTTAGTGTAATTGATTAGTGTCATTTTCAAAAGGAAAAAAAATTTTACCAACATTTAGGCTTCATTTGGGAATAATTTTTTTAGTTTGATTTTTTTTTATTATTATTATTTTAGCCTGATTTTAAAAAAAAAATGTTTATGACACTTTTGACTTTTTTGTAGTTTTGTGAGAGAAAAAAATGAAATAATTATGGTTTGAATGTGATATTTTGTCTTATTGATTCTTTAACCTATTTTATTTTTTAGTGAATTAAATTAGTCCCAACTATCTTACTAAACTAAAGCTTAATGTTTGTATTCAAGTTTCCAGAATTGCTTAGGGGAATTAAAAATGAGTGTTTGGAAATAGGTTATTTTAATTGATTTTTTGATTTTTTATATAAAAAAAAAACGTATAAAAAAATAGACATAGTGATATGATTGGGTATTTTATCTTATTAACTATTTTATCCCAACCCAACTTGCCAATTGTGTGGCATAGAGGGTTAATGTCAGCCTGACCTAGATGCAATGTGATCTTTGCAAATTGTTGCACGGTGTCAACATGTCCTTAATAATTTAACAAAGGATAAATTACACTAATCTTTTTGTGAGATTTAAATAAAATATAAGTAATTTTACAGTTTTAACATAATTATATCAACCTCTTTTTTATTAAAGAGTAATGGGATCGAAATTAGTGTAGATGATATGAAAATAAAAGGATAAATCAGTGTAAAAAAGATGATAAAATCATTTTTTCATATACATGAATAATAAATTATTGAAGAAAATGAGACTAAACATTATATGAGTTAAAATCTCAAGGAAGTCCAATATAATTATGCCAATATTGTGAAGCTTACTATATTTTACCCAAACCTCAAGAGAGGCCAATGTAATTTACTCTTTAACAAAAATACACAATCTAATGTCTGGTTAAAAAAATTAAGATTTAGAATAGTCTATCCAGCCGTGATATTATCGTAGAGAGCTATTCAATTCTAAAAGTGATGTAAGATATAAAATGGGGTACGGATTAATTAGTTAAATTGTATAAGTGCAAATTGTTGTGTGGTGGCGACATGACCTTAATAATTTAACAAAATACACAATATAATATTTGGTTAAGAAAATTAAAGTTTGAACTAATAGTCTATCTGAATATGACATCCTTATGGGGAACTATGGAATCCTAAGAATGAGGTGCTATGCAAAATGCAAAATGAAATATCAAAGAGAGATTCTGATTAATTAGTTAAACTAAGTAATACGATTTTATTAATCCCTTTTTATAATAATAATAATCATATGGATGTTAATCCCATCAAATCTAATATATCGAAACAAATATAATTGTTATGTGTTAATTTTGATTTGTCAGAAATTTAATCACATGAGTTTCAAATTTTGAAATGTGTGACAACTATATTAGGATTTTAATTCATTTTGTGCCTTGGTAGGCAATTTGGGCTGTGATGATCATGACCACACATTTTTAGCTTTGTGTTTGGATTTAATGTGAAATTCATCCAGCTAAAATAAAGCTTTAATTTAATAATCTTGAAGTAACATGATATAAAAACATTACATAGAAAGGTGGACGTGCCGGAGTGGTTATCGGGCATGACTAGAAATCATGTGGGCTCTGCCCGCGCAGGTTCGAATCCTGCCGTTCACGTTTTACTACTATCATATTTTTCTTTTTTTTTATAAATAAATTACGATGTGCATTTAATTTTTGAATTTCATTTCTTAATTTCTTAACCATATTATTTTATGATACTTTATATGTATAATGTAATGCAATGTGTTATATTGAAATTTTATTTTTTGTACAACATACTTATTTGTCCCAATATCTGTCTCTATTTCTCCATATTATTTTAATCTATCTATCTAAATTATTTTATCAATTTATCCCAATATTTAAATTTATTTGTCGAAATTGTATGTCAATATTTTTATCTATTTATACAAATTATTTGTCCCAATATTTTTCTCTATTTCTCCAAATTATTTTAATCTATCTATTTATCCCAATATTTAAATTTATTTGTCGAAATTGTATGTCAATATTTTTATCTATTTATACAAATTATTTTAAATCATATGTATAAATTATTTTAACCCATCTTTCGTGATATATGTCTCCAATGCGGAGGCTCTAAGCATTATCCAAACCCTAAGACCATACTTTGAGTTCGTTTGGGAAGTAAGTTGGTTTTTTAACTATGTTAACCTGGGGCTAAAAAGTCTTGTTTGGAAATGACTTTTTGACTTTTTTTTTAGAGAAAGAATGTAATAATTATGAATTAAATATGATATTTTATCTTATTAAAATAAAAAGTCTATTTTTTTATGACTAAAATAACTCCAAACCCAACGCAACCCTTCTTCCCAAATGCCTTCTCAGGTTCAAATCTATTGATCAATACTGCTGAACTCTTTCAGCTCCACACTTCCGATCTGGAAAAACGTAAAAGGGAGTCGTGGATTGAAGATGACTTAGGTCCAAATGTATTGACCAATACTGCTGAACTCCTTCAGCTCCACACCCCTGATCTTGGCAAACGTAAGAGAGGGTCATGGATTGAGGATGGCTTCAACCCATCTTTTTCCTTGGCGCTGAGCTTTTTGATCTAGTAGCTTGGGTTGTGCTAACCTTTCCAGCTTTGGCTGTGTGTTTTCTTGCTATCTTTGCAATGTTTTGCTAATGTTGCGTGCAGTTTCTAGCGGAGCTATAGTTGCTAGCAGAAGTATTGACTTTTAGGTTGTGCTTGTGCTTTCTTTTTCAGCATTTTATTAAGTTCAACTATTGTTTTGCTTTTCTTGGTGTCTAGAACATAGCTTAGTTTCTTAAGCATGTGGTATACGTTGCGTCTATTTTGACGCTGTAAGTTGTGTATGACTATATCTGTTATGGTAATGCAATATAAACTTTTTCTCAACAAAAAATAATAATTTAATTTTCTAAATTACTTTAGAGTTGATTATCTAAAAGTCTTACTTACAAATGTTATGGTAATTCAGGTCTTATTTAAGATTTTTTGAATCAATAAGTCAGTCCTATTTAGTAAAACTGAAAATATTATCAGTTTTTCTCAATTTTTAGAACTAAAAACATTATTAATTTTGCATAGTAGTGTTTCAGAAAATTATTTCACTAATTGATGAGGGAAAAAAACGGATGAGGGGAAAAAACGAAGTATCAGATTAAACGTTTTTGCCCTTCTACTTTTTTATTTGATTCAACTATCCAATAAAATCGTGAATATTATCATTTTTTTCAGTTTTAAAAACTGATAACATTATCAGTTTTTTCATTTTTAAAGTTTTTTTTTTAAAAAAATTTGCACATTAATGTTCCATCATCATGCTCTTTTATAGACACAAAATTTTCAATTTTACACAAAAAAAATATTTTTTTCAATTTTTTCAAAAAAAATTTTGCAGATTTTTTTTTTTTTTAGTTTTTTCAATTTGAAAGTTGATATTTTAAAGTTTTGAAAATCAAAATAAATGTCAAATCATCAGGTTCCTTTATAAATAATCATAAATGATGAACAATCGTTGTTTGAAGGGTAATTCTGACAATTAAAAATTTAATAAGACTTGAAGGTCTAAAAAATCTTAATTAGGATTTAATGAAATATAACATGTCTCTGGATACTCCATTATTTTAACGTATTTGTTCCTATATTTGAACCAATCTACCTCCATATTTTTAACCTATTTGTCCCCCATATCTAATCCAAATTATTTTAATCCATGTGTCCCATTATTTTTACTTATCTTTTCAAATTATTTTAATTTATTTGTCCCCATAACTTGGACAGATAGGTACCAGAATTTGGACAAACATGTACCTGAAGTCGTAAAAAAAGAAATAAAAAAAATTTGTGTATGGTAAACTTCAACATATTATAACTTTGTGCTTGGCAGTCCGTTGATGATTTTTATTTTTATTCCGTGTGTTTTTCCAAGATCTATCAATTTGGAACTTCGGAAAGCCGCTAATTAACTTCAATAAAAAAAATATTATTCTTTTATTTTTCGAAATCATTTTATTCACTTCTTTTTTTATAAAAAAAATTTATATTTATAAATCCACATCTATTAAATTTAGCTAACAAAAATTACATATGCTTATGACCTTGAGTTTAACACGTGGAGTGAATGCCAAATAAGTTTAAAAATTAGATTTATGACCAGAGCTCCCTATAAAATATACATATATAATTTTATTTATGTATTTATTTTTCAAATGAGGGGCAATGGCACTTGGTGAATCAAAGCTAGTCGACTGCCTAGGGGAAGCTTTATGTCTATGTAACTCGAATTTGAGTTTATCTGAATGGCCTAAGTTTTGACTTGCCGGTCGTCGGGCCACAAGTGATAGCCGCAGTGTTTTGACTTGCTGGTCGTCGGGCCACAAGGTGATAGCCGCAGTCAACAAAGGTAAGGGTGACAAGTGTTGCACCGGTCATCCAGTGGCCGACCCATATGCACAAATTCAGACGATTCAGCAAACTCAAATTTGAGCTATCACACATTTTTGAAACTCTTGCATAAAGGACAAAAAGCCAAAAGCATGGTTGGCAGTTACGTCTGCCCCTGCATGGAGTAATGTTCCAACATCTCTTAGATGCTGCACCTATCATAATATTGAAATGGGTCCTGTCAAAGATTCTAATAAATTTATCACATCAATTAATACAAAAAATCAATTAAGAACAACAGGAATTCACCAAGAACAATCAAAGACTCAAGTGGTGAATTCAAGAACTGGTCAATCAAGAATAGAAAAATCAATCAAGAGCCAGTTCAAGAATAGAATTCTTGAATCAAGAATTCTTACACCAGGATAAGGCCACAAAACAATTTTTACAATTCACTCTCTAGCAATCTTTTTCGTCTAATTGACCCTTTGGATGTTCCCATGAAACCAAATATTGCTATGCACTATACTTTGTTGCATGACTTTGCCGCCACTTCATTCCAATGGCTTCTACTGCTTCACTCTCCATTTTGGACTTCACATCCCCAGCGTTCATAGATAAAACATTAAACAAGGAAATAAAAATAAAAATAAACAAAAGCCAGCCATTTTTTTAACGATTCTAACTTTGTGTTGCAAGTAAAGAGGACTGATTATAATAAGGCTGAATATTCCAAGTACTCACCTACTCCATGATGATCCTGCAGGTGTATCCTTTAGACTTAGTGAAGCTACTGGGCTTTGTAAAAACTGAACATGATCAGCACCAGCCAGATAAGCCTTTGTACCAGAACTTGAGTTGGCTGGCCATGTTGCTGGAACCGCTAAATTCCTGTGGCAATTGAAAGATTACATAGAATTAAAAAATAAACAAAAACCTTTTTATGAGAAACTTTCTAGAGCTTCTCAATTTTGCCAACAAAAAAAAAAAGAAAAGAAAAACCAATTCCTTTTCCCCTAATCCTCATGCCCCGAAGAATACATAGCATGAGATACAGACAACTTAGACACAAAAATTGCATATCAGGAGGCAAGATGATTATAAGTGACCAGATGGAGGTAGTGGCAACACAATGGAGGAGAAATAGAGACACAGCTAATAGAAGCAATAAATTTGTTTGAAAATTCGCTTTTGAAAATTGTTTATGAGAAAAAAAAAAAACCTTTTTTGAAAAATAAAACATTACACTTTTAATTTTCAAAACTTATTTTTGCAGAAAATATAAACTATATCAAAACGCTGGATGTTTTCGAACTTCCCATTGTTTTTGTTTTCAAGAACATGAAAAATGAAAAAAGATACCAATTGCAGGGATGGGGAAAGGGGAAGGTCGTCGCAGGGGTTAAAACTCTGCTATGAGCTTGGGAGTGTACAAGGACCAAACCACCAGGTCATCCCCTAAGCTCATAAAATGATGATTCTGATGGTTAGTCAAAGGACACAGGTAGTGAGGCAGTGGGGGCGAGGGGGTGTGTGATAGAGGCTAGGTTGTTGTGGCGGTGGCAAGCATTATGGTGGCACTTGTCTTTATTATTCATTACTTTAAGTTAGTGTTCGGCTACTTTCGGCTACTTTCCTATTCAGGTTTGTAATCCTCTCCTATATAAGGAGCTTCTAACATTGTTAAAGATACAACATTCAATATAATATTCAATACACAATTCTTTCTTTCTTTATACATAAAACTAATATGGTATCAGAGCAATAAGATTTAAACTTGTATTTGTTTCTCACCGGCGGGCAGCCGGCCGGCAACTTTGCCTTTGCTGCCCGCTGGAATTTTCTACGCATACCTTCCGCTCTCCACAGCCGTACCTCTGCAAAAAGAGAAGCTTCGCTCCATCATTTCCTTCCACGAATCTTCTTCGTGGCTTTCGCACTCTCTCTCACTCCCTCACTGTTCGCTGCCAACACCACTCCATCAAGGTTCGCCGCCGACACCACTCCCTCACTGTTGACTACCGACACTACCACATCTGTTGATGAAGTCTCACCTCACTACAACTCCTCTTCTTTTCTAGAAACCCCAGATCTGATCCCAAGTCCACCTAAGCCACATTTTTATTTTCCATATCCAAAGGCGAACCATCTTAAACTTGATCTGGATCTAGATCTGAGAGAAAGACAGAGATTTGTGGTAGCTCTGGATCTGGATCTGAGATATGGTAGATCGAGACTCCATCATCGTCACCGCCTATTTTGATGACGACAAAACGCTCATCTACTTCAACTTCTTGGATCACTTCTTTTGGAACGTCTTTCTGTTGACTCTGGCACGAAATCAAAGCTCGGTTTCACTGTTTATCCCTCACCCCAAGTCTCTACTTCTGTTGTGGAGCCCGATAACAGTGTCCTCTCAACCCAAACATTGCTGTGTTTCTGGACAATGAGGCCATCTATGACATTTGCCACAGACCTCTCTCTCCCTCTCGGGTTGCATTTTGAGAAGAGAAGCCATTCACACACCATATCCAGCACATACACACACGGCTCACTCTCATCTCTCTCTAGCTGGGTCTCTCTCTCCATAGACACACGCACACAGCACTCACCACCACACCCAGCTTTTCTTTTCTTTTATCACCCTCCAACCCCACTCAACTTTCTCTTATTTTAATATATATATATATATATATGTTTATTTTAATCTATTGCACAGACCGTCATCCTCTTCTCTCTCTCGGAGGGGACACACAGCATGGTTTTAAAAAATAACAACACACACATTCTTCTTTATTTCTTTCTTTCTTTATTTATTTCTTTATTTTCATTCCTTTATTACATCTATACCCATTCTTCTTTCTAGATTCTCTCCCCTTCTCTCCACTTTATCACATGGGTTTTGTCTCCCTCTTTTCGTTTCTTTTTATTTTACTATTCTCTACCAATTTGAGTATCACCTTTCTTTTTTTCTTTCTTTTTTAATTCCTTTACCATTTAAAAAAAAAAAAAAACAAAAACAAAAACAAAAACAAAAACAAAAACAAAAGACCACACAGTGTCTGCTACATCGGTCCGACATGACCTCGTAAACTGTCCTGCTACAACGGTACGACATGACCCCGTAAACTGTCTTGCTACATCGGTCCGACATGACCCCGTAAACTGTCTTGCTACATCGGTCCGACATGACCCCGTAAACTGTCTTGCTACATCGGTCCGACATGACCCCGTAAACTGTCTTGCTACATCGGTCCGACATGACCCCGTAAACTGTCTTGCTACATCGGTCCGACATGACCCCGTAAACTGTCTTGCTACATCGGTCCGACATGACCCCGTAAACTGTCTTGCTACATCGGTCCGACATGACCCCGTAAACTGTCTTGCTACATCGGTCCGACATGACCCCGTAAACTGTCTTGCTACATCGGTCCGACATGACCCCGTAAACTGTCTTGCTACATCGGTCCGACATGACCCCGTAAACTGTCTTGCTACATCGGTCCGACATGACCCCGTAAACTGTCTTGCTACATCGGTCCGACATGACCCCGTAAACTGTCTTGCTACATCGGTCCGACATGACCCCGTAAACTGTCTTGCTACATCGGTCCGACATGACCCCGTAAACTGTCTTGCTACATCGGTCCGACATGACCCCGTAAACTGTCTTGCTACATCGGTCCGACATGACCCCGTAAACTGTCTTGCTACATCGGTCCGACATGACCCCGTAAACTGTCTTGCTACATCGGTCCGACATGACCCCGTAAACTGTCTTGCTACATCGGTCCGACATGACCCCGTAAACTGTCTTGCTACATCGGTCCGACATGACCCCGTAAACTGTCTTGCTACATCGGTCCGACATGACCCCGTAAACTGTCTTGCTACATCGGTCCGACATGACCCCGTAAACTGTCTTGCTACATCGGTCCGACATGACCCCGTAAACTGTCTTGCTACATCGGTCCGACATGACCCCGTAAACTGTCTTGCTACATCGGTCCGACATGACCCCGTAAACTGTCTTGCTACATCGGTCCGACATGACCCCGTAAACTGTCTTGCTACATCGGTCCGACATGACCCCGTAAACTGTCTTGCTACATCGGTCCGACATGACCCCGTAAACTGTCTTGCTACATCGGTCCGACATGACCCCGTAAACTGTCTTGCTACATCGGTCCGACATGACCCCGTAAACTGTCTTGATCCCCTTTATCACTCACTTTATTTCAACCTCAAATAGGTTTCTATCTTCACACCTATTTGAGTTTGAGGGGGGGTTATACATATATCATGGTGAGCATGGTTACACACCATGGGAACCACTCAAGCCACCCCATGGCGCACTCCTCCCTAAGTCGACTCCTTGGTGCACCACCACAATCTTCTACAACGGTCCGGCATGACCCCATAAACTGTCCCGACATTGATTCCGGTCAACTTTTACATCGGTCCAGCATGACCCTGTCAACTGTCACAATATTGGCTTCTACATCGGTCCGGCATGACCTCGTAAACTGTCCAGACATTATCTGCTACAACGGTCCGACACGACCATACAGTGTCTTCACCAACGGTTCGACACGACCATACAGTGTCTCCTATCCTATTTTATTTTCCTATTTTATTTTGTTACTCTCTCCAAACTCAAGTTGGTTAATTTTTATCCTCCTTGAGTTTGAGGGGGGCTGTTAGTGTATATTAGTGCTTGTAATGATGTTAGTAGGTTAGTACTTGTCTTTATTATTCATTACTTTAAGTTAGTGTTCGGCTACTTTCGGCTACTTTCCTATTCAGGTTTGTAATCCTCTCCTATATAAGGAGCTTCTAACATTGTTAAAGATACAACATTCAATACAATATTCAATACACAATTCTTTCTCTTTCTTTATACATAAAACTAATAGACCAAACCACCAGGTCATCCCCTAAGCTCATAAAATGATGATTCTGATGGCTAGTCAAAGGACACAGGTAGTGAGGCAGTGGGAGCAAGGGGGTGTGTGATAGAGGCTAGGTTGTTGTGGCGGTGGCAAGCATTATGGTGGCATGATTCTGATAGGGTTGATGGAAATGTCATTAAGTTCTGTTAATATTACTGAAAAAATTGGGACCTTCTATCTTCTGCTTATTCGAGAAACTTTACCAAGAAACAACAAAAGCAATAGTAATTTATATATGTGCCTTTGTCATGCCATTTAAGAGGGGGGAAAATATGGTCATGTTGTGCTCAGTAGCTGCAAGTTTCGACCAACATTTCAAACAAAATTTTCATTTTTATTTTTATTTTTGTGTAATTACTATATGGAACAGATCATTTGATCAAAAAACATCTAGTTTAACTTCTAGATCATGACAATTAATAAATAAATTAGGAAGAAAATTATGGCAAAAGAAGATGCAGCTTGCGTACCCTTCGAGTCTTCTGCATTTGCAGTGGTTCATCTTGTCAACTGTATAATTCCCAAATACGGCTTCGAAATGCTCTGCTATTTTAGGTATCTTGGCCAATGGCAAAATGTCCCAAACCTTTATAACCTGGATGTCTGTTGAATGTTCCCTAACAATGTCTATGCTCCATATGAGATTCAGAAATTTATTGACCTTGTGCACCTCCAACAGTTGAGAAGAAGTCCCATTCATGTTCAGAACTTTGTTCTTCTGATTCTGATGCAAGCCACTCAAAAGATTTTGTAAGAGAGAAAGCACTTTCTTACGAATCTCTATGTTCTTGATTCTAGTCATGGATTTCCTAAAATCATTGCCAAAGCGAACCTGTAACAAAAAAAAAAGGGCGACGATCATATAGTGAGACTTGTTGTAATTTAAGAACAAAAATTCATGTAATCAACCGAAGACATTTTAATTTCTATTGTGAATGAAGTACAGATTGCTTTTGTTTGGGAAACACAGTTTAGCTCATCTACAAACATGGAATGGTAACACCTAGCATTGAGTATCTAATTGTAAAAATTCAAATAGTTGCTTGCTAAATCTTCCTAACTTGATCTGATTAGTAACTTTTTCTTGCCATCAGCACAGAAAGAGCAGAGTTAAGATGACCAAAATGATAAGAGTAGAGGTCAACAAGTTCACGAATATGCAAATTGCTTGCTATTATGAACTAAATTGCAAAGAAAACTTGGTTGGATGTGTTTTCATTTTGGTGCTTTTAGAAACACAAACTATGAAAAGTTGGAAAACACTCGGCATTTTTATTTTTCAGCAGAAACATTTCTTGAAAATTGAAAAAACTGCTTTGTGGTTGTGCTTTTATTTTTCAAAAAAAAAAAACTTGTTCAGCGAATTGTTTCTAGAATTATTCTTGAGAAACCCAATTTGTTTAGGGAAACCATCATCATTTACAGTTATGTGCAAAAACGGTTCTCAATAATTCTAAAATAGACTTTTGATGTTTCCTAAAACCTGTGCTGTTTCCTGATAACAATGTTAGAAACAGTTCATCTCCTAAGTTTTTGTGTTTTTTTGGGAAAATGAAAACACAACTACAAACAGGAGAATTTTCATAATTCTTTCTAGGGGGCTTCTGACACAACTCTTCTAAGGAGAAAAGCATTGATTTATGCAACCATGTTGCAATTTTAATATATGATGCATGGAAATGTTTGACATGAAAGGGTTTTAATAGTACAATTGTTGACAATTAAAGAGAGCATATATATATACCTTCCACCTTGTATTACTAAACAGAAAAGAACCAGGCTTGAGTAATGTATCAAGTTGGTTAAGCTCAACTAAGGCACCTCCAACAGCTTGAGCTAAGTTCTTGTCATCATTCGCATCATAAAAACAACCACGAGCCTTGGCATCTACAACTAATTTTTTCCACACACTGCCGCTATTAATCAAAGTAGCACCATTCCCCAAAATCCAAAGGCAATGCCTCAGGTTTGATGCCCAAAAATAAATAAATAAATAAATAATAATTACCACACAATCTAAAGCTTAATTATCACAAGGTTAAGCTATGCAAAAAACAATACCTTGCTCGAGTGAGAGCCACATTAGCTCTTTGACGATTGGAAAGAAAGCCCACTGATCCACGCACATTGCATCGCACAGTAGAGATAATTATGACATCTTCCTCACCACCTTGAAACCCATCAACAGATCGAACACTTACAGAAAAGTGACTGTTTGCGTCTGTGATGTATGTTTTTCCAAATTTTTGTTCAAGTGCAAATACTTGAGCCTTGTATGGTGATATGCAACCAATCCTAACCTTCTGTTTTGACGCCTTAGATTTTGTAGATCATGATTAAGGCAGAAAACAATAAAAAATTACAGCCTGTTTGGTAATGCTTCTGTTTCTATTTTTGTTTTCCAGAAACTTGAAAACTGACCAAAAAATTTGTTTTGAGGCCTCAGATTCTGTAGTGGGAATAATGCAGCCAGATATAAGAATCCTCACTTATTAATCATGAATCATGCAGAAAACACTAAAAAGTTATAGCCCATTTGGTAATGTTTTATTTTCTGTGTTCTGCTTTCTGTTTTTGTTTTCAAAGAATTCGAAAACTTTTCATTGACTATAATAGAAAAGAAGTACCTTTAAAGAGTCTTGCAACAATATCGGCGGCCACAGCTACCTCCACCATGTTTTTCGTGCTATGTCTGTTATCAAAGTCCTCTTGGCCGTAGCTTACATTTATGAAGGAATAAGAACCATACATACTTCCTTGAAGAAAACGCCTCTCGTAGGTTCTCTCTTTGACATTCGGACCATCAGAAATCATATTGTCATAGAATTCCCTATTCGGAAACATGCTTATTGATGGATGCATTCTGTATTGGATACTAAGAAGATGCCTTTTATGCCCTAATAACACCAGCCTCTCAAATAAGCTTCTTCCAAATTCAACATTCTGGCATATCTATTAAGCATAGATGTTCAAGATGTCAATACAAGATAATAATTTTTATAAAAGACTGATAAACACAAAGACAAAATTAAATTAAATTAGATCAGAAACCTTGCTTTGAACCATTGCAGGAAGTTGTCGTTCATCGCCAATGAGTATAGCATGACGGATACCAGAGAGCTGTAATGGAATAGTGGATTCACATTCTTTGAGCTGAGCAGCTTCATCAATCACCAACAGTTCCAATGGGTTTTTTTCTTGTGTACACAACTTAGCAGAGCTTGAAGCAGTGCAGAATATCAAGCACGCATTTTGCAAGCAAAAACTTCGAATTACATATTTGGCAGTAGTATTTAGAACAGAAAAGGTTTCACGAAGGAATTTGAGTACTTGAAGGCACTCTGCCTTGACAGAACTCAACTTCATGAATCCATTAATCCTGTTTCCGACATCTGCAGTTCCATTAATGAGTTCTCTCAAAAACTTATTTGCAGCAACATCAGTGCGCAGCAAAGTTCGAAATGATTTTAGCAGATCAAGAGCTCTAATCATCTTTATTGCTACTTCCAATGAAATGATAGAAGTTGGCATGTGGGTGTACAAGATTGGAATCAAAAAGATGAGATCATTTCCAATGGATTTAAATTTATCCATGAAGAACTTCTCAAATGTCTTGAGTTTTTCACACTTGTCCACCCTTTCTCCTCTGTTTTCCTCCTCTGTTTTATCACTCTTCGATTGGCTTTTTCTTTTAGAAGGCTTCTTTTTCTTCTGTTTTTTCTTGTTCTTGTTTTCCTTCAAGGTTTGAACAATTTTCTTCCTCCAAAATGCGCTTTCATCCATTGGTTTCAAGTCTTCTTGATCATGAATATCATCCTCTTCGTCTTGATTGCTTTTCACAGTCCTATCTCCAAAATTTGTCTCCTCTGTCTCCTCACCATTTTTCTTTTTTTCTTTTTCCCAATTTTCCAAATACAAACGGTACTGCTCTTCGGGGCCTTCAAGTAAACAGATCATTGCTTCCAAATTTTTGTTCCACCCAGTAGCTGGAGCAAAAGCTTCGAGAAGCATAAAAACACGGTAATCAAGAAATACATCAAGAAGGTCTTCATGTTCATCGATCTTCATTCGCTTCCAATTACCAAACAATACTATATCTCCCAACCCATAAGTATCATCCTTGAATGCATCCCAAACCAAACTCATGAGCCGTGCAGTGACTCCCAACACTGCAATGTTGGTTGGGGCACAGGTTAGTGTTCTGCATTTCAACTTCAATAGAGAAAATAATAATGAACCAACTGTCTTGGTTTTCCCGGTCCCAGGAGGACCCCATATTAGTTTGACAGTATTTTGATGATGACATTCTCTTGTAGCAATACAACTTAGAACAGCGGCCTTTTGGGAATCGTCCAGATTAAATGACCTTATGACATTCCTCACACTGGATAGAGAAACACTGTCATTCCCTTGGGACAAGCAGTGAATACAATCGGTCCCAATCTGTAAAATAAGTTAGAACAAGTTGAAATGATTCGAGCAAATATATTTATCTACTCAAGACTGAATCCAGTAAGAAAATAATGCAATATAAATATGAATCAAATAATGAGAAAGGAGTGCTATATGTATACGAAAGCCAATAATGCTACAAACACAAAAAAATCTTCGTAGAAAACTGCAAAGAACATAGAATGGTAGCACTGCATTCATCCTGGTAAAGTGTGGGCTCTATCTAGGATTGCATTTTGTGCACTTGTTTTTTTTTTTTTTTCCTGGGAATAGATTATGCTTCATATGCTTACTTTTCAAAAGCTTACAACCATATAATCACATTTGTTGTTTACATGGACAAGCCTAGCAAACCGAAGTCTGTGGATAGTGTCCCAAGGAAGTTTTGTGTAAGTAATAACTTAGAGTAAGAAAACATATTGTGATTCTTACAGTAGAATCAGTTTGCAGTACTCTTTTAATGATGTTCATGTTCCCCTCCGAGTGCAATGCCGTCCATATACGAATATTAGTAATCATGTTTGTCAGATAAACAGCAAAAAGTTTTCTCTTCTTGTTCTGATCCTCTAGTTCATCTGCATCAAACATGATGAGATTCGACGACAGTACTTTAATTTCAAGTTCATCAAAATCATCTTTGTTTTCTTCTTGTTGTATCCAAAAACAATCAGAATCATCATTCGTCTCTGTAACTAAAGCAACAAGATAAGGTGTTTTAGGCCTATGAAGATCATCTATACACTTGGGTTTGAGCTCTGTCAAGGCAATGAGATCTCCGACCTCAGGCTCATACATTCCTCCATAATTATTTGCAGTGTCCTCCATTCTTTCTAATATGATATTGTAGCGCAAGATTTTAGGAAAGCCTTTGGTTGGTTCAACCATCAATATTTCACGAGTAGGTGCACGAGCCACCATCTCTATGCTTGAGAATAAATCAGCATGCGTTTCCTCAATAAGGGGGTAGATAAATGACTTCATGTAATCTTTTGTCGATGAAAATGTCTTTGGAATTAAATTAACCTGTCAAAAAAGTTCACAATTGTGAAGAGTTAAAAGTACTTATAAACAAAATCATCACTTACAAGTTTTAGCAATGGGCAAATGGTGGCAAGGAACCCAAAAAGAGTTGTCATGGCACGGAATACTCTGCTTCCAAAATCTATGACCGCAATAGAAAGAGTTGGAAACAATAGGTTTATTCACTAATTAACATTTGTTGTTGATAGATGAGCTTGAAGGACTAAATTAAACATATAAATTTCTTTGGCCAATAATGATCAATTGTGGCAACTGCATGCACTTTAGCAATTCATTCTAATTAAGAAGAAATCAGAAAAAACAAGCAAAATAATATTATAACAGTTTCTGTCATTCTATTTAGCCAATTATGTTTGTGAGTGGCTCAAAATGGAATTTAAACCTTGAAGAGATTACATAAAAATGAATAAAGGTGTTAAATATTGGCATTTTGTTGGCCGTTACATATTGAAATTGTAGACTTCTAATACATATATTCACTTTTATATCGGTCGATAGTGTCCAATATCAACAAATATATCATCAATACCAAAACCAATACATATCCCGTTACCGGTGACAGAGCCACATGGGAACTAAGGAGACACATGCCCCTCTCATTTTTTGAAAATCACACTTTCACCTCCAATTATGAAAGGTTTTTTATATAACTCCCTTTTAATTTCAAATATGTTTCTAAATCTTTATATCCCATCTTTCTTTTTGAATAAATTCCTTACAATTTGGCACCACCATAAATATTTAATTTTAATTTTGTCAAAATATTCTCTTATAACTATTTTTTTTCACTCATGTCTCTCTCATATTTTCTCTCCATGTTTTTCTCTACATCTATTTGTTTTTTTCCTCTCTTTTGTAGGTATGTGATTACATTTTAAATTGTGATTATCATCATATTAAGGAACTAAAATAGCAAATAAACAATAAATTTTTTTTTTATCAATTAATTTAAACATAACTGTTAACATATTTTGACATCATCTTTGGTCATTCTATCACCAAATAAAATTTGAATTAGGTTAGGTTGTGATTGATATCTCTAAGGATTCAATTTAATAGTGCACCCTTGAATCAAAATCCTGGCTGCGCCACTACCAACTACTGTGATTGAAAACACAATGTATATAGACTAGTGTTTATGATACATATCTACACTCTCATAAGAAGGCAATTAGGAAGAGGGAGAATATGTAATTCCAAACCTTGCCCTTGTAAAGATCTTTGTTGAGTACATCAGCAAGAGACCAAGAAAAAACCAAATCTATCAGGCCTTGACCTTTGTTGGGCTCTTCTGCCTTCTGGCCTTTACTTCCCATTCCCATCATCTCTGTTATACAATATTATACTTGCCAAAAATTATGGATTCCAACAACATACCCACTTCAGTTTCTCAGCTCAGAAGATAACCTGAAAACACACACACACACACACACAGAAATATCCAATTATGTGTATGTGGAGGGAGAATAGAGAGAGAAGGCTCGCTTAGAAGTGAAGTAAGTAACAGCAGATTGAAGAAGGCAAAGTAAATGATTCCATTTTGAGAGAAAGATATATAATAATGAAAATGTACATATACATTTAGCTTAATTTTTAAGGTTCCAACCCAATCCAATCCAAAGCTGTCTATGCATATATCTTTAAAGATGGGTGAAAAAGAAAATGCCGTACAATTATGCGCAGAGAAAGTGTTGTTGTACGAGGAAAGTAAAAAAATTTATATAAAAAAGAAAAAAAGAAAAAAAGAAAGGAAGTTAACAAGAGTCGAGTGAAGAGACATATACAAAAGCATGGCAAAGCAGGACCCCCCCATTCTCTCTCTCTCTCTCTCCTTCAGCAGCAAGAAAGGAGGCACCTGTAGAGAAAGAGAGTGTTGAGTATATATTTGTGATGTGTGTATATATACAACTTACAACCAAAGAAGAAATCAAAAGGATGAGATGGTAAAAGAGAAGTGGGAACGTCATAAAAAAAGAGAGGGAGATTTTGAAAGAAACAAATAAAGAATACCTCATTTACAAAAAATAAAAACATAAAAAATACCTCCCCCATTAATATTAATTACTGCATTATAATCAATACAAGAATAATCAATTAATCAAAGCTACATAATATAATATAATATGGGTTCATGTTATTCAGACGGAGATTGGTGGGTGATTATTCGGAATGTGAAAAGGCTGTGAGGGAGGAGGACCAATGGTGAGTCCGCGCGCCTTTTGCTTTTCAATGGTTGAGCTGAACTGAGCTCAGCTAGCAAAGTAGTTGTACTGTACTAGCGGCATGCAATGGGTTCGTTTTATATTTTATCTCACCATATATCTCTCTTTACTCTTTTTATGATTTTAATTTAGGCCCGTACTGATAATCTGAACCGTTTATCTCTTAAGTTTCACAATAAAAGTCATGCATGTAAAAAATTAATTTCATCAAAAAAATTATAAATATAAAAATAAATTACATTTTATTTTATAAAATAAATAATAAATATAATTTAATTTAAACCATCTATTTTATAAAATAAAATGTTATTTGTTCTCATATTTATAGTGGTCCGATGAAATTAATTTTTTTGCATAGATGACTTTCATTGTAGGGCCTACAAGATAACGGTTCAGATTATTATTGTGAATTTAAGTTAAAATTATAAAAAAAAAAATATAAAAAAATAATATATGAAGAGGAGCTTATCTGTTATCCCCCGCACTTAATAAAGTAGTGCCAAAAGGCTGAGCCCTCACATTAATGTTTCCTAAAAATACCAAAATCAAGTAGTGTGTGATTTAACTCTGTTACAGCCGAATTCACATATGAAATGAATTTAAAACATACATTACTTTTATTAACATTTTTTTGTATTTGAATTCTTAATCTATATATTATTTTTCTTAGTATTTTTTTTTTATATATGAATTGTTGATTCCTGACATTATTTGATAAGCCACTTTCTAGGTGAATCACCTTAATTTCGTAATTATTGTTCTTAAAGAGCAACTAATATGCAATTTCCAATATATTTTTATTTATCCATTAAATTAGAGCTACCCTTAATAAAATGAGGGGAGAAATGATGAGGGGAGAAATGATGGGCAGTGATCAATCGTATACATCCCGAAAATAAACAAAATAATAATAATTGAAAAAAGAATTTTGAAGAGTTAATCTTGAAGAGTTACCCTCTAACTTTCGTAATCAAAATTTTTGTTCTTTCAATTAAAATTCGCCAAGAAATAGATAATTAAATGTGTTGCTAATAATAAATTTAAATATATAAAATAAAACATCATTTTCTTATGTAGAGTTATATGATTGGAAAGATCCCAAAACTAAATTAAATACAATCATAATTCCACGTACGCATAAAAATGACATAAACATGCATACAAAATCAATATGCAAATTGATTCTAGGTAATGTGAAGATTACAACCATAATGAATTTAAACCACATTAATTTTTCTGTATATAAATTACGAAATGTATTGTAGTGCTCTTAATGATTCCATTCAGCAGAGCACCATTTGGGCCTAACCCCAAATAAGACTTCAGCTACATAGTCCTTACCGGTTCTTTGATGTTGTATTGGGATATTAAATTTGTGAAAAAATAAAAATAAAAAGAAAGAATAAGTGAACAAAGTAAAAGCTCATTGCCAATCTAAGATATCACTGGATCCATGACTTAAACATGACATGAGTTGATCTCATAATGATCAATGCAAATGTCTCAAATATGCGTATCAAATTTTCAACAGACTATTACATCTGGAACCTAATGATTTTTACCATTTCAAACTCAAAAATGAGTAGCCTCATTTTTCCATATCATGTAAAAAGGTGCTTTAAATTTTAGTTACATCCACCAATGCAAGTTCTCCTTGAACCTGCACATATGACATTCTCCATTTCTATCTGTACATCAAAATATACCTAAATTCCAAGGAACTCACAAAAAGATATATAATCAAATTACAAAAATTGGAAAGAATGGCCAAGATATCGTGAATGGAATCCAACATCATCATGGATTTCAAGAATCTAAAGCTATCCCGCCATTCAAGAGAGTCAGTACCAACCTTAAAACCTGCATTCAAAAGTCTGAAAAGAAAGGTGTCAGATCTTCAATTCAAATAAGAAGCCAATGGATGTGACCAATATGTAAACAACCCAACAAAGACGCTTTGTTCTTTCAATTAAAATTCGCCAAGAAATAGATAATTAAATGTGTTGCTAATAATAAATTTAAATATATAAAATAAAACATCATTTTCTTATGGAGAGTTATATGATTGGGAAGATCCCAAAACTAAATTAAATACAATCATAATTCCACGTACGCATAAAAATGACATAAACATGCATACAAAATCCATATGCAAATTGATTCTAGGCAATGTGAAGACTACAACCATAATGAATTTAAACCACATTAATTTTTCTGTATATAAATTACGAAATGTATTGTAGTGCTCTTAATGGTTCCATTCAGCAGAGCATCATTTGGGCCAAACCCCAAATAAGACTTCAGCTACATAGTCCTTGCCGGTTCTTTGATGTTGTATTGGGATATTAAATTTGTGAAAAAATAAAAATAAAAAGAAAGAATAAGTGAACAAAGTAAAAGATCATTGCCAATCATTGCCAATCTAAGATATCACTGGATCCATGACTTAAACATGACATGAGTTGATCTCATAATGATCAATGCAAATGTCTCAAATATGCGTATCAAATTTTCAACAGACTATTACATCTGGAACCTAATGATTTTTACCATTTCAAACTCAAAAATGAGTAGCCTCATTTTTCCATATCATGTAAAAAGGTGCTTTAAATTTTAGTTACATCCACCAATGCAAGTTCTCCTTGAACCTGCATATATGGCATTCTCCATTTCTATCTGTACATCAAAATATACCTAAATTCCAAGGAACTCACAAAAAGATATATAATCAAATTACAAAAATTGGAAAGAATGGCCAAGATATCGTGAATGGAATCCAACATCATCATGGATTTCAAGAATCTAAAGCTATCCCGCCATTCAAGAGAGTCAGTACCAACCTTAAAACCTGCATTCAAAAGTCTGAAAAGAAAGGTGTCAGATCTTCAATTCAAATAAGAAGCCAATGGATGTGCCCAATATGTAAACAACCCAACAAAGACGCTCTAATGTTGTGCTTGGTTGGAAGATTTGAAAAACGAAAGAGAAAAGATGTGTGAAACTAAGTAAAATGTAAGTATATTTTATTCACATTTCACCTACCTTTTCCCGTTCCATTTCCAAATTTCTTCCCAAATCTCTCAACCAAACTCAGCGTAAACAGGGCAAGAGAGAGATTGAAAGATAGGCAATGATAGTGAGGGGCAAACCAGCAAGTAACGGGGTCAATAATTCAAGAACTGATTTCTCAGAGTTGGAATAGCAAGTAGCAACATTATAGTGGTCACAGAACCGCGACATAAATGTTTAATCCAGCTCATGCCAAGGACTAGGACATTCCGGACCACAATGTATTTCCATGCATACATGTACAGCAACAAACTAAGAAAAATTTCAGTGACAACAACATGATGGTCGTTAAACCACCTTGCTCTGCAACTTTCTTGTTTCCATGTTCACAGTTCTACAGTTATCATCATCAAGATAAGACTCAGCATCTTCCATTTTGATAAGTCCAGAATTCCCATCTAGAGAACTGTTTCAGTAATATGCCTTGAACTGAGTTTTCCAATTTTGATTGTTGTGACTTTTAAATACCCACCACACCCCAACCAAACCAAATCAAATGAAGTATTGTGCCCCAATCAAATGAAATTGGCTACATGAATTCTTTTTTGCAATGCCACTTTGTTAAGGGCTATACGCTTAGTTAAATTAAATAGAGAAATCAAATGAGTCCTACTTTTTCATCAAATTTTCATTTGAGTCATGTTTTAATATAACTCAATAAAATTTCATGAAAAAATGACTCATTTGTTATTTTTCCTAACATAAATTCATATCTAGAAATAAATAAATGGGAAAAAATAGCCACAGTATCATATGAGGCTTCAAATATATACAAACTTCTCACATTGAGCTGGTAGCTGATACTTAAAATCCATCCTTCAAACTGAGTCCAGAAAATTGACTTGACAAAAACTCCAAAGGATCTGTTTCTGGGACCACTGTCCAGGTCATCGGAACCGTGAAATTCCTGTAACAGATGATAAGGAGAACCAGTTAGCCTCTAATTTCTTCAAGCAATAAATCAATACAAAGATGTTTGTTTTCTCCTCTCAAAACAGCATTTTTGTTTTTTGCTTTTTATTTTCCTACACCATCCATGTCTATGCATGTACACAATTCTTTTTATTGAACTTATGTTTGAACTAGCATCCAGGCACATACAATGAATGCAATGACGGTGGCAGCATCACTGGTGGATACAGAAACAATGGCAGTGTGGTTGTGGGGCAGCATAATGTGATGATGGAAAGTGCCTGTTAGTGATGATGATGACTATGAGCCAAATCTTAATATAAAATTTTTAACATCATACATGGCTAACACCGCAAAGATGCATAGTGGACAAATGCAGAGCCAGCGGTTTGGCTTCAATATATAAAACTAATACAATCTCGTTGATCTATATGTCCAAACATAAACATATAAAGGAAAAGAAGAATCTGTTTCACAGAAATGGAATTCTTCTTTTTAATGAGTTTTTATACCCGTTCTTTGTTTTCCTCATCAAAGCAACCAACTAACTACTTGAGAATATTTATTCAGTTACGATTTCATTGCTTCCAAAAGTGAGAAAACACTTTGTAAATGGTAATTCAATTATCACCCTAGTAGATTAGTTTATTTGTATGTTTGACTAAGCTACTATAATATGTAAATATAAAATTGGGGGAAAAAATGAGGACACCTTTTGGAGGAGCAGCACAATAATAAGGAAATAACTAGTATCCCCGTCAATTATTTATCACAAAATAAAGAAAATAAATGGGGTACTATCAGGACAGCATTAAAGATTCAAAGAGACAAAAAAGTTTCCCAAAACACAACCTGAACATGACCCACCACTTGATAGTTTTAATAACAGATCCTAGCTTAAATACAGAATTAAAACAAATAAAATCCGCAGAAAGAACTAGTATAGATACGATGCGTACCCCTCCACAAGTTTAAATTTGCATAGGTTCATGACATCCACTGTATAACTCTCAAAATAGTTGTCAAGATTCTTTGCTAGCTTTGGTATATCAGATAATGCCAATATATCCCAAACCTTTAAAACTTGGATACAGTTAGAATTTTCTTTAAGGATATCAATTGTCCAAACGAGGTTGAGCAGCTCATTGACCCTATAATACTCCAATAGCTGAGTAGATATCCCATCCAGAGAAATGGGGCTTCCTTCCTTGTGGGGCTGATGCCAACCACTCGAAAGCTTCGTCAACAGACAAAGAACTTCCTTGCGGATCTCAATGTTCTTAATTTTTTCCATCGATTTCCAAAAACTATCATCAAAGCAAACCTGTAATCAAAATTCAGTTAAGCATCATTTGGTTAATATTTGAGAACCAATAATGACATTTACAAATTACAACCACTTTAGATAGAAGGGAATAAACATAAGAACAAGAAGCAGAAAAGACTAGAAAGCTTGTGCCTATCATCACATCTCAAAATGTAATATGTTAATACATGTATGTTTACAAAAACTCATTAACCCCAAACCCATTAACCTGCCCAAACCACCTGGGTATAAATCAGTAAAAACCCAACCCATTTAAAAATTGAGTTAAAATGAGTCAAGAGACCCATTTATGCCTATTTAAAATGAATCCTAAATGGGTCAATATTAAGTTACCCTACAATTACCCAGTAAATAACCCAACCCGACATAGGTTTTTCTTTGTTGAGCTAGCCCACCCACACAACCAGCACCTGTACACGACCTCTCTACCACCACCGCCGCTGTCACCTCCACCCCCACCCCCACCCCCACCAGTACCACACCACCACCAATGTATTGCTTGTTTTGTTCTCCTCAGTATCGTAACTTTACTTCTCATTGTACCATTCACAACAGTTCTCATGCATGACTAACAAAAAGATTATAGAGATTAAGGCCTTATTTGGGAAGTAAAGGTTTCAGCCAAAAAGTCACTACAGATTGTCAAATCATTTTCTCCACTTTTTTGCATGTCTTTTCGTAAAAGGTCACTAAAAAAGCCAAATCCCAAACATTGCCTAAATAAAATAGTAACTTGGTAAAACAAGAATACCAAGTAAATTGCAAGTATTTGGACACAATTCTATAGTATGAACTCTAAATTCGTGTTTTAGATTTTATTTCGTTCCAACATATGATAAATATTCTTTATTTTGTTTTGAATTTGTTTACTAAATAGCCAAATGCCTATTCCATTGTTAAAATAAACAGTAGTAATTTTTTTCAAACTAATTACTATTTAGATTTGGGGAGGGGCTAAAATAGCCAAAACGCCACTACAAGTTGTCAAATTTTCCCTCTATTTTCCTGCATGTCTTTTCGTAAAAGCATAAAAGCCACTAAAAAAGCCAATTCCCAAACACCTATACATCAAGCACTACCATACTATACAATGCATTGTTAGGAGTTTAAATTGCTTTCACGTAGCTGTAGCTGCATTAAATCGTTTGAAACTCTGGATTCAATTAAATAAAATAAAAAAAACAGTTACACCCTTTTTCCTATCTTTTTTCCTATGTCGACATTTTCATCACTACAAATAAAGAAATGCTACCATACCTATGTTTACTTGTTAGGAGTGCCATATTCCCTTTCTCTTGTTATTTGTAATTTCAATTTATAATAGTATGCATCAAGATATGACCAGATCACTAGACAACCTCTACAACAATAGATATATTATGAATTAATAGTTGCATTGCATCTTAATTTAGTCTTTCAAATACAATAATTTCAATTTACTATAGTATGCATCAAGATATGACCAGATCACTAGACAACCTCTACAACAATAGATATATCATGAATTAATAGTTGCATTGCATCTTAATTTAGTCTTTCAAATACAAAATGGATGCAAAACATTAATTAACAGTTGGTGGTGGTGGTGGTGGTGGTGGTGGTGGTGGTTGGTGCGGTGGCAGTGGTATTAATTTTAAACATAAAACATTAATTTTATATGCGAATATATAACTGCGTTAATGGGTGAGTTGGGTTTGACTTAAAATAAAAGGGTTGAGTTAGGTTGGGTATGAGTAATAATCATGCAACTAAAGGGTAAAATATGGGTAATTAAAAACACAAACCCTATATGACATGACCTGCCCAAACCCATCTGTTTTTCACCCCTAAATACGTGCTAGAATTTTTTTGTCTAAGTAACTCACACTGCCAACTGTTCACCATAAGCTCACAAGGACCGATAATCTTCAGTGGTCATTTATTAGTTACATTAATTCCAACAGTCATTAAGTCTACCAAATTTACACAAGGCACAAAGTTTGTGATCAATCATCATCCCAAGAGGTGAAAGCTTGCCCTGAGGAAAAGAAAAGAGACAATCTGTAGAGATACAACCAAAGGTCAGCATTCTGTCGACAAAGCAAATTGTCACATTATAAAGCAAATTGGACCACTCAACTATATACCAAACAAGGCAAATGATGGACATAACTAAGCTGCCAAATACAGAGTTTGACTGCTTCTAAAGAGGCACCTCATCTTAAACAAAAAGAAAAATATCTCAGTTACTAAAGTTATAAAACATAATTAAAGGGCAATCTCTGAAACCAATGACATTCTGATTCCATCAGACAGGTATAAAATGATGCTGCATGAAAAGATTCAGAAACTGTAAGAGTGGAAGATAATGAAAAAAGAAGCATACCTTCCACCTTGCCCCTCTGAACAGTAGAGAATCAATATAGAGTCGAATATCTAGTTGGTCAACATCAACCAAAGCAGCTATAATAACTAGAGCCAAGTTCCTGTCCTCATCAGCATTGTGAAAACACCCCCTAGCCTTGGCATCAATGATCAGTTTCTTCCAAACAGACCCACTGTTTCTTAAAGTTGATCCATTGCCCACTATCCAAAGGCAATACCTATAAAAAGGAAGCAATAATGCCTTTTACTTGCAAAACCATGAACAATCAACTAAATAGACTCAAGCATAGTTTTACTGCACTATTTTTTGGCACACACAAGAATACCTTGCTCTGGTGAGAGCCACATTGACTCTTTGACGATTTGAGAGGAAGCCTATACCCCCATTCCCATTATTTCTGACAGTTGAAATAATTATCACATCCTCCTCACCGCCTTGAAACCCATCAACTGAGCGAACACTCACAAAGAAGTCACTCTCTGCATCTGTACTGTATGTTGTTCCAAGTTTCTCTTGAATTGCAATAACCTGAGCATTGTATGGTGATATCACACCAATGCTAACCCTCTGTTTTAAGGCAACGGATTCTATAATGGGAAAAACAAATAGTCAGTTCTGCAATTCAATGGTCAAAAAGCAGAACAGTTAGGGGACATGTCTTGCAATCTTTTAGTTCAAACTCCAGTTTTTCGTTCTTTTCTTTTTTTTGCAAATAGTCACTGTATGGTGTAGACAACAAGAACATACCTTTAAACAGTCTTGCAACTATCTCAGAAACTACAGCTACCTCCACCATATTTCTCAGGCTATTATGTCCATCAGGACCATCACTTACTTCTTCATTTCCAAATGCTATATCTATAAAAGAGTAAGAACCATATAAATCTCCTTGAAGAAAACTCCTCTTATAGCATTTTTCTTTGACATTTGGACCATCCAATATCTGTTTGTTGTAGAACTCCCGATTCGGAAATAAGCTTATTGATGGATGCATTCTATACTGGACATTGAGAAGGTGCTTCCTGTGCCTCAATAGTACCAGCCTCTCAAATGAACTTCTTCCGAATTCAGCCTTCTCAGAAATCTAATTATGGTAAAACATTCAAAATGAAAAAGAAATGTCCATGATTTACAAAGACAAAAATAATAATAAGATAATAGGGTTCAAAACCTTGCTTTTAACCAATGCAGGCAGTTGCTGCTCATCTCCTACAAGTACGGTATGGCGAAGACCACGAAGTTGTAGAGGAATTGTTGACTCGCATTCTTTAAGCTGAGCAGCTTCATCAATAATCAACAGTTCCACTGGAGTTATTCCCTTCATGTGTAATTTGACAGAGCTTGAAGCAGTGCAGAATAACACGTGTGCATTATCCAAACAAAATTTTTTGATTGAATGTTCACCATAAATATCAGGGGGAAAGAATTCCTCGGGAAGAGATCTGAGTATTTGAAGGCACTTATTTTTTGACAAACTTATCTCAGAAATGCCACCAACACCTTCTCCCCCATCTTCAGTTTTATTGATGATTTCCTCACCAGAAACCATAACACTACATAATAAAATTCCAAGGTACTCGAGACAATTTAGAGCTCTAATCATGTTTTCTACTATTTCCAATGAAATAAAATAAGTTGGCAAGTGGGTACACAAATTTATAACAAAATCCTTCATTTGCTTTCTTATGGATTTGAATTTGTTCTTTACAAATTCCCTGAAGTTCAATCTTCTCCTATTTTTTGAAAGAAAATTTCCATGATTTGTTTTCCCATAATGTGAATGGTTCTCCTTCTGCAAAGACTCCTCATTCCATTTCTTCTTTCCCTTATTTTCTTTCAAGGCTTGAGCAATAACACTCCTCCATATTCTATTATTCTTCTCATTTTTTACGCTTTGAGCATATAGTTCCTTTTTGTGTCCATTGCATTTCAGCATCCCTTTCATAAGAGTTCCCTTCTCCCCCTCTTCCTCATCATCATCACTACTTTCATCTTCCTCATTTTCATCACATAAGTACAAATGGTACTTATATTCAGGGTCTTCAAGAAAAGATATCATGAATTGTAAACAATGTCTCCACCCAGTCAACGGAGCAAAACACTTGGCCAGAATTTTTGCCCGATAATCAAGAAAAACATTAAAAAGGTCTTCGTGATCATCAATTTTCATTCGCTTCACATTTCCAAATAAAACTATGTCTCCTAGCCCATAAATGCCATACTCAACTGACTCCATAACCAACCTCAACAGCCGCACTGTAACTTCTAGTACCGCACGGTTGGTTGGGGCACAAGTAAGTGTTCTGCATTTCATCCCCAGAAGTGCAAATAACAACACTCCAATCGTCTTTGTTTTCCCTGTCCCAGGAGGGCCCCAAATTAGCTTTACTGTGCTCTCATGGTAGCAACCCTTCATAGCAATACACTTTAAAACTGCTTCTTCTTGGGAGTTGTTTAGACCAAAAGAGCGAATGACAGCATGCAAATTGGACCCCACAAAGCTGTACTTTTCTTTCATTGAGCAAAGACTACAATCGTCCCCAGCCTGAAGATTTAAATAAAACACAGAGAAAAAAAATGCATGCTAATAATATTAAATAATAAGACCAAACAACAACAACAAAAAAATGCATGTTCTACGGCAGCACTAATGATTTATAGGTGCTCTAAACATGATAGAATTGAGATTAGAAGTTCCAAGGAGGATTTAAATATGAAAGAACTTAATCACAGTACTTACAGAAGAATCAGGTCGTAACAGTTTCTCAATAATATTCACGTTTCTCGAATCCGGATCTGAGTTTAGTGCTTTCCATATACGGCTGTATGTTGTCATATTTACAAGGAAAACAGCAAAAAGAGCATTCTTTTGCATGTCATGTTCAAGCACAATCGGCATTGATGCCAAGATTCGGAGTTTTAAACAATCTTTTTCTGCCTTTACCCGTTGAATTAAAGCAATAAGATAGAAATTTGGAGGCCGTCTCAAATCATCAATGCATTTTGGTCTTACATCAGTAAGGGCAATGAGATCTCCTGTCTCAGGTTCATATGTCCCTCCATTGTTCTTATCCACTTCAAAATTATAGAAGAGGTCTTTGGGAGGCTGATAATCTTTACTACTCTCTACAGACAATATTTCACATGTTCGTGCAACCGAAACTGATGCCATGCTTGAACACAAGTCTGCATGTGTTTCCTCAATGAGAGGGAAGATAAATGATTTCATGTAACTAGACGTTGACGGGAATGTTGTTGGGATCTGCTCCACCTGTAAAACCACACATTTATTAATGTCAAGGACTAGAATATCCTTAAGATAAGATATAAACAAATACACTGGGAACAAGCTACTAACAACACTACCCTCCCTAAGTATGATTTCTACTTGGGACCTCCACTTCTTAAAGCATGTTTTTCGTTTGGCCTATCTTCTCTAACCCTTGGACTTAGGGTTTTGGGGCTAATTGCCACTTGCCAATGTACATAACATAACAGCTCCACATGAATCAAAAAATCTTAGAGATCATCAATTTTTATGTCTACTGCACTTGTCATCATTAGGAAAAACAACCTATTTAAAGTTTTTATTATTATTATTTATTTATTTAAAAAAATCAAATAAATAAGCAGAGAGAAAGAGGGATGATGAGCGATTAGGGGAGCAAACCTTGTCCTTGTAAAGATCTTTGTTGAGAACATCCTTGATACTCCAAGAGAAGACCAAATCTATCAAGCTTTCATTGCCGATTGTAGGTTCGGCCTCCTCCTCCTCCATACTATTTTATTTCACTAGCTTTTTCTTCCTTGAGCCAATCAATAAAACAATTTCACTTCTTCATCGTTGTGCAGTATATGACATAGATACACATACATATACATATACATATATATATATATAGAGAGAGAGAGAGAGAGAGAGAGAGAGAGAGTACCTGATGGTTAGTAGTACTAGTCTTGGTGCAGTGAGTGAAGAATGGAATTGGAATCCATTTTCATTCCTGCCAAATATCGAATGGTCTGGCTTGCGAAAGTGTTGGTGATATGATATGTGAAACAAGAATCGATCGTGTCACTAATTTGGGAGTATTAATTGATCAGGTAAAAATTTAAAAACATAAATAAATAAAAAATAAAAATAAAAAAATAAAGCAGCAGAACACCCTATCATATAGGACTCACATCCCTTTAAGCCTCCGTTTGGGAAGTGGATTGACTTTTTAACTTTTTGATTTTTTAATTTTTTTGGCTATTTTAGCCTGAGCTAAAAAGCTTGGTTTGAGAAGGGCTTTTTGGCTTTTTGACTTTTTTAACTTTTTTTGTGAGAGAAGAGTGTAATGATTATGGGTTGGATGTGATGTTTTGTTTGTTATGGCTAAAATAGCCTATTTTGTTTTTTGTGGCTAAAATAGCCAAAAAAAGCCCAACCAACTTCTTCCCAAACGGTGCCAACTATCAGTCCTCTTCTTCTGAATGATCTCACTCATTTTTCTATATGAAAAAACAAAACAGGGGGAAAATAAAACAAAAAATCTGCAAGCCGTACGCCGGGATCGAGAGAGAACAAGGGAGGGGCAGAGCAGAAAGGCGGGAAGGTCAGTTCCGGTAATTCCGGACGTAATTTCTAAAATGATGCTGATATACTCCTCTTATTGGATTTTTGAAATTGATAATTTCATTTAATAAAATTTCTTTAAGTTATAATTGTATTTGATATTTTAATTCAGTGAGATTGTGAGTTTTTAAATGTGAATTCAATTCGAATTATGCATTTGTAAAGGAATTTGTGATGTTAATTCTTTTATTTTTACCACTTTGCTGACTATATCGGGGATTGAGTTGTCCGATCAACTCGCGGGAGTCGAGGGGGTAGCACCCCATGACGGGTCCGGAGCAGTGCCCAGGCGGGATCAAGGGACAACGCCCCAAAAGCAAAAAGCAAAATTGCAGTCGAAATTATTTAACTGCTCAACTGGTCGATTGTGTGCTTGAGCAAAGATACAATCCTTTCAGAAGTTTCAATCGCCTGTAAAAGTACTGGGAATTGTATTTTTACGCTCAAGCAGCCTTTCCTACGCTTGAGCGTAGATCCTTATTTTGAAACACGCGTTTTAATTAGACCGCTTAAGCGGTCATTTCTGCGCTCAAGCGGAGATCATGATTCTTTTTTTTATAAATTTGCGATTAATTTAGTTTCTAGGATACGGCTTCCAGATCTTCTTCTTGGGTATTAGAGTTTTCATCTGAAGTTTCTTTACTTGTTTCCTTTGATATCTGTGAGAGTTTATATCATAAATTGGTTGGATTATATTAAAGGATTTGCTTATTTTGTTTTATTCACAAAATAGAGAGTTGTTCTACGGTGGATTCCGGAGTGGCTCATCATCGTGGATTTGACATCAGCGTTATGGATTCAACGTGGAATAAGACAATTTCGAGGTGAAAATAGTAGTGGAAGAGGCACACTAGGGTTAGTTCAATTTGGGCATGGATAGCTATGATTATTGTAGAAACTGCATAAAGATTAGGTGAATTGAAACTAATCATTTGAATTAAGTCATTGAATATGACGGTTTGATTAAACATCAAATATGTGTTATAGATAGTCATTGTAAATGACAATACCTTTAAATACATTGTATTCCGAAATCTATACATGGGTACCGATCCCGCAGACGAAATATCTGTAAAATGGCAAGTTGAAATTATACATAGGTGCCAATCCCGCGGATGAAATATCTGTAAAATGGCAATTGGGAGTGTCAATGTTTTGATTCTGAAATCGTTGAACGATTAAGTTGTAATCTCATTTAGGTGGTTGGAAAATAATGGAATTGACTCATGCACTGAAATGAATTGAGGGAAAATGAAATGGAATATGGAATTCATGTTTGTGATTATATATATACATATATAAGAGTATGAATGTTTATCCCAAACGTTGTGTATGCATAAGTACTTATATCTTTATTAAACCTCATATACTGTGTGAGATTATTCCGACTGGGTTGTGGCTCACCCTATTTGGGAAAACATTTTCAAGTAATGATGGCATGCCTCCACCAAGGGAATAGCATTGGAGGGTTATTTGGGAAGCAATAGGGCTTCTTGTTTTGTTTCACATTTTGTATAGCCTAGGCCTTTAATTGTAAGGGCTAGTCCTACTTTTGTTGTAACACAGTTCAAACTTGGAAAGGTGTAAGCCCAAAGGGCATTTATTTATGTTAAACTCTCTTGTAATGTTAACTTCGTGTAATGAGAGAACTGTTTATTCTGATGTATGTTGCCTTCTTTATATATACTTATGGGTTATATTTATGGTTATATTTTGGGGGCGTGACAACTTGGTATCAGAGCTTACCAGGTTTGAATATTTTGGGTACGTGGGAAGTGGTTAGTACCACAATGGGTTTGTCTCGCTTGTTAGAGACTTAAGTATGGATGTTATGTGCTTATGTGATTATATGGGTTATGGGATTTAGTTCCTAAGATATTGACTGGGTCTACGGGTTTCTGGAAGTCCTATTAGAAGAGCACTTGATAACTGATGTTTTTAATTGGAACTCTAACAACGCCGCGAGACAGTCACTATCTAGGAGGGAAATTCGTATGTGTTTATATGATTATGTGCTTATGTGGAGTGAATTACAGTTGTCCATTGTATTAGGACGTCAGTGAATTAGTTTCGGCACATTTGCAAATGTGCTAATGTCTATCGTTACCTTTATTAGGATGTTAAGACGTGGATGTGGTGGTGGTAGGCGTGAGATGCCTATACCGGATGAAATTCTGGCACAGGAAGAAGGAGTTAGTCAGGCCAACGTGGGCAAGCCAGTAGGTCAACAGGCCATGCGCACCTTAGCCCACGAAATGGACGGAACATTGAGGGAATCTATGGACATTCTCAGGGCTGTGAATCAAGTCCAGGCCCAAGTAGCTGAAATGGGGCCGTCTTTTCTGAAGAGAGAGTTTTTCCGGTCGAATCTGGACGAGTTTTTTGGTGATCCCAATGAGCCACTGAAAGTCGATGAGTGGCTAGAGAAGATGGTGAAGACGTTTGAGATGCTCGGCATTGAAGACGGAGGTTTAAGGGTGACCTTGGCGTCCTCCCAACTGAAAGGAGACGCAGGTCAGTGGTGGAAGTATGCGCGAAAGCGCATTGGAGGAACTTAGGAGGCCTTTGTTGACGCCTTCCAGGATAAGTACTTACCTGCTACAATAAAGGAGAAGTTGAGGGATCAGTTTTCTCAGTTCAAGCAGTTGAACACACTGGTGGCTAAGTTTGAAGCCACATTCACTAATTTGTCGAGGTTTGCACCAGAGTTAGTGGTGACAGAGGAGTGTCGGTGTTTGGAGTTCGAGAAGAAATTGCGAACCGGGCACATATTTAGAGTGGTCGTATCTATGATTAGGGATTATAGGCACCTTGTGGAGGTTGCAGCCCGTTTTGAGACTATCATGCATGCAGAGGAGGAGATGATGAGGGGCTCCAGGAGGAGTCAGGATGGTTAGGGGGACAATAAGAGACAGGGGGGTTCTAACCCACAGCAGTCTCAAGGAGCGCATTCGAGGTCTACTTTTCCAGTACCGAGTTCAGGTTCTGGGAGAGGTGGTCAGGGAGACATCACTTGTTTCAAATGTGGTCAGTTGGGCCACAAGTCTCCAGCTTGCCCACAGAAAGGAGGAGGGCAGCGAGCAGCTTTATCTTCAGCTCGTTCTCAAGGCCAGAGTCAAGGGAGAGGCCAGCCGCTCACTTGTTATCAATATGGGCAGGCGGGGCACTTGAAGAGGTTTTTCCTACAGTTGGGTGGCACACCTGGTGCGTCTGGTTCGAGGCAGACATAGAGTCACCAGCTAGCACAGTCAATACAGGTCTCGATGGCTAATTAGGGAGCCTCTTCGGCTCAGTCAGTGTAGCAGTATTACGCTCCAAGGGGTGAGCAGGTAGATCAGAGACTTACGGGGCACGGGTACGCTGTTACTACGACAGATCTTGTACCAACTCTATCTGTTGTGAGAAGTACCTTCTTGTTTTGCAATTCAGTTGCTAGTGTGTTGGTTGATACGGGTGCATCTCATTCCTTTATATCTTTTGCATTTGCATCAGTTTTGGGATTGGAGTTGGCACAATTAGCATCTCCTATTTGTGTAGAGTCACCTATTGGTGGTGAGGTTATCTTGAAACAAGGATGTTGGGGTTGTGATATAGAGGTCGCCGGTCGTCGACTTCCATTTGCATTTGTTTTGCTTAATATGACTAGCTTTGATATTATTTTGGGTATGGACTGATTATCGTCATACCGGGCTGTTATAGATTACTACCGTCAGAGGGTTACTGTATGTACCTTGAGCGGTGATTGCTTTTATTTCTTGGGGAACCGGGTGGATAGAGTCTTATCACCGATATATGATCCGCGTCGGCGGAGTGAACTTAGTTGTCTTCTCACTAGCTTTTTGAGTAGTGAATGTGATGAGGCCCGGGTTGAGTTGCCAAGAGTGGTTTGTGAGCACTCGGATGTCTTTCCTGAGGATCTTACTAATTTACCACCTCACCGAGAGATCGAGTTCTCTATTGATCTAGTGCCTGGCACGGCACCGATTTTTATGGCACCGTATTAGTTTGCGCCTGCTGAGTTGAATGAGTTGAAGATTCAACTTCAAGAATTACTAGATAAGGGTTTTATTCGCCCTAGTACTTCGCCTTGGGGAGCACCGACCCTCTTTACTAAAAAGAAAGATGGAGCCTTGCGACTTTATATTGATTACTGAAAGTTGAACCGGGTAACGGTTAAGAACAAGTATCCAATACCTCGTATAGATGACCTGCTTGATCAGTTAAAAGGGTCTCGTTGTTTTTTTAAGATAGACTTGAGATCAGGTTGCCATCAATTGAGGATAAGGGAGGAGGATATCCCGAAGACGGCATTCCGTACGCGGTATGGCCATTATGAGTTTCTTGTGATGCCTTTTGGGCTAACCAATGCACTGGTTGTATTTATGGATTTGATGAACCGAATCTTCCGAGAGTTCTTAGACCATTTTGTGGTTGTCTTTGTGGACGACATTCTGATTTACTCACTCTCTGAGGAGGAGCACGACGAACACTTGTGAGTGGTGCTTGAGTTG